ATGATGATGATTGGCTAAATTATCGTCCCTTGTTTGTGATGTTGTGTTATGTTGATTTTATATATATATATATATTATAAGAATGATGTCATGTTGTAAACGTCTTTTTACATTTGTTGCTTGAGATTTGTGTTTTATGTTTGTAAACTTTATACTTTGTGACTTACGGGTTTATTTGATGTCAGTTTGGACTTAGTCTTGTCTTTTTTGTAACTTATGTTTTATGGATTGTTTTAGTTGGATGCTTTTATAATTTTTATTACTATGATTGTTGTTTTTAACGGCTAAATTTTCATCTTCAAATTTTATTTGTTGTTAGTATGTGAAGTGTTATGACTTTCATTTAGAAATTTCTTCTTCAATTTTATTTGTTGTTAGTATGTAAAGTGTTATGACTTTCATTTAGAAATTTCTTTTAAATATAGAAAAACATCACTAAAAATATTTAAGATTTTTTTAAAAAAATATTTGCATTGTTAATTTATATTTTTTAGAAATTATTTATGGCATAATTATGATTTCACGGTTCGATCTGGTTCAACCCAATGGTTGAATCGGCGACCCGTCCACTTGATCCTTTTTCCGGTTCACTCACCGGTCCGGTTTTTAAAAGCTTGATGGTGACACCTCTTGTCCCTCTTTCTTTCTTCTATCCTGGTTCAGTTTGAAAGTTTTTGAATTGTTGTGAAGAGAGGAGGTAGTGATCTCCAACAATCAAATCTATGGAAAATTCCAAGGTTCAAGAGGTAAAAAGCTCATATCTCTCTTTATATATATGTCCGTATCTATCTATATGTTTGTTTGGTACATTTGCATTTCAATTATTGAGTCTCCAATTTGCAGATCATAGAGAAGCAAGTTTTGATGGTGGCCAAAGCCGTTGAAGACAAGATTGATGACGAGATCCACGCCCTAGATCGCCTCGATCTCGACGATATTGACGTCCTCAGAGAGCGCTGCCTCCAACAGATGAAGAACATGGCGGAGGAGCGGAGACGTTGGATCGCCCTCGGCCATGGCGAGTACTCCGAGATCCCCATCGAAAAGGATTTCTTCTCCGTCGTTAAAGCCAGCGATCGCGTCGTCTGCCATTTCTATCGCGAGAATTGGCCTTGCAAGGTATGCATATCTCTATCTTTTCTTTTTTCAATTAGGGATTATAGGTTGATTGGATTTTAACATGAAATTACATTGTTTGGTTGCTGAGAAATTTGCTCCCAGGATGATTTTCTGTGAGAAAGTATTCAAATGTTAATTAGGCCACTTCAAAATTTTCCTCAAATTTGAGTAGAAGGTTGAATAATTGCAGATTGGTAAATTTTGAGTAAACTCAATTTGGTATACCCAAATATAAATTTGATATAGGTTTGAGTCAAAGGATTGGAGATGCCTTTGCATATGCAAAGTGTGTAGGGCTATAAAACGGATCAAGTTATTTGCGTTCGGCTCCTCTTTAGCTCTTCGAAATTGACTTTGTATGTTAACAATCCAAACTTCAATACACTTTAAAACTCATTAAGTTATCGAGACAATGACTTGATAAGCTTATAAGCACTGTAAAAACCCAAACTAGTTAAAGCTTGGTTCATTATTGATTTTATTGAAGCTTGTTTGAGATTTACTTATCAACAAATCAAACTTGAACACATTTTAAAATTTGTGAAGATTTCAAACTAAACATCAACAGTCTAAATGTATGATTCCTTTTCATGACCAATAAAAAAGGGTATGATTCTTTTTTTTTAAATATAGTTAAATAGGGTTTAAGGTGTCAACGATAACAGAATCTTGTTTTTTTAGCCAATGCATTACACATCATGAGCCAATAGTTTAGAAGATTTGTTTGTTTCATGAGCCAATGCATAATCTATCTTTATTTCCTAGGGCCAAGTAACGATTATAATCCTAATTTGTCCCAAAATGAACAACTATGTTAAAGAACCCAATCCGTGTTGGGCGGAGGCATTAAAAGGTGTGGATGCTTGCCCCTCATTGTCTTCTATGGTTGGTTTGGTTGGAGCGTAATAGGCGTGTTTTCCAGGGGGTAGATCATTCAGTTCCTTGGTTAGAAAGATGCCTTCTTATGGTTTTGTATAGTTGGGTGACACGTTTGGTTAATCCCGATATTTTGGCTTTTGTAGATTTTGTGGAGGATTTAATTTGTTAATTCCGTGAGCCTTGGTGGCTTTCAGTTTTGTATTCCTTTGCATCATCTTGATACTTTTCTAATAAAGTTTAGTTATTTATCAAAAAAAAAAAAATGTTGCAGAACCCAATCTTTTTTGACAGGCACAAACTTTTTAGTCCCAATATCCCACTTGGATTAACATAAAAATCACAATTATACTTCCAGTAACTATTCTTCTGTGCAAGTCTTGTATTTGAAAGTTTAGAATGAACTATATTAGCCTTGAATACAGTTTCCCCCATTCTCTTTCATTATTTGCCGAAAATCTGATGGGTTGCATATACTAATGAAGGAATGGGACCTAGAGAGATAAGTTTTCCATCACTTGTTTGTTACATTTGTTATCATGGACTGCCTTTGTATATGCCAAGATAAGGAGTATACATTTTGTAGTTGAACTAGTTTCAAATACATGCACTTACTCCTGACAAAGAGGCAAATTCTGCATTTGCATGAGATTCATTATATTATTATAAATATATTGCATATACACAATATATATATATATATATATATTCAAAATGATGTATTGTTTTTATTTTTTTATCCACCATTACAAATTACAATATATTTTCATTTTTCCCATTCACCGCGGATGGTTTTTTTTGTACTGTTCTAATTTCATTGAAGTGATTGTTTTGTTGAAATTGTTTGTGGCTCATTTCTGGGAATAAACAAAATTGAGCTAGATATGTGGTCATCACAGAGGGAAGGCCTTGCGTCATGGGTTTCAAACTACAACCTTGCAATGTTGGGAGTCTTGTACATTGAGATTGCCCTTTTTATATACGGTGGTCATAACAAAAACTACAAACTCCATACCTGTTTTAAAATTATTAATTATGGGGGTAGCTAATCATTGCGTGTCATTTAAGTTTGCCGATGTGTGCTTCTGTGTTGCTTGTCTGTTGAAGTGTCAGGTATTGAATTGTAATGCATTTTATAGAGTTCCTGGCATAGGAAAGAATGTTGTCTAAATCAAATTTTGATGTGTTGGATAAACAATCTTTGTTAAACAATTCTTCACAGCTGAATGCACAACTATTTGAGTATTTGACCACACTTCATTATAAGGTTGTGCAACAACTTAATGTTTTTTTTCCCCCTTCAAAATTGTGGGTATTGTTGACTGATTTATGGGTTATTTGAAAGTAGTGTGTAGATTTCCAGCTTGTAAAGAAAACACTAATGCTTCTAGTTTAATTGCAGGTGATGGACAAACACTTGAGTATATTGGCAAAGCAGCACATAGAGACACGTTTTGTGAAAATGCATGCTGAGAAAAGTCCATTCTTGGTTGAGAAGCTCAAGATTGTTGTCCTTCCAACCCTTGCCCTTATAAAGAGTGCCAAAGTGGATGATTACGTGGTATGTCCAAAGGAAGGTTACACAAATTATTAATAAAATCAATTTAGAAAATAAAATTAATGTTTTGTTTAAGTTACAATCCTCTACTTCATGCATTGCAGGTAGGATTTAATAGCTTGGTGGGACGGATGAGTTCAGTACAGAAGAACTGGAAGAGAGGTTGGCTAAAGCTCAAGTTATCTTTTTTGAGGGTGAATCATCTCTAAATCTGTCAAAGTCCAGTGCAAAATCTAGGAGCGTTAGACAAAGCTCAAATGCGCACTTTTCAGATTCAAATTCTTAGTAATATTACATAGATTGCCTCTTGTTGTAATTCCCTTTGCTTTTTGGTGTGAAGAGTCTCTATTAGGCTTGACATCATTATCCTATCTTATATTTAGAGAACTTGAAAGAATGTTTCAGGGGCCATTAGAAGTTGGTATTATGATCAACTTATTTTGGTTCGAAATTCAGTTGGTTATGTAAGATCCATTCTATCACCTCAAAACCATCTCTTGGATAGTTATCACGTGTGATTGTTCCTTTCGATCAATTTGATTTTGCTTTGCATCTGGGTTACAAATTTTTGCTTTGAGGGACCTTATGCTAATGTGTCATTTCTCTTCTTTCTATGATTGCATATTTTTTAATGCTTAAAGAATGCTATTCCTTTTCTTTTTTATTTGAATGAAATTGAAATATTAGTTTGTTGGTGTCTAGAAATTATGGTGATTACGGAAAACTTGGTATAAAGCCATTAATTTTTGGTTCAATGGTGATGAGTCCCTGTGTGATGGTTATACTAGGCCTTGTTTTGCTCAACTTGAGCAGGCTTAGCCAGAGTTAAGCTTGGTCAGGATTGGTCAATTCCCTCTTTATGTTTTGGGTTGAGCTTGGACCCCCACCACCAAGAAGGAAAAACATATTTAATTAGAGGACTATTGAAACTACCCATTTTGTGGTGGATTGGTTCAAACCTTTTGGTTTTGGCCGCCCAGCCGAAGGAACACTGTTGTATTCTCACAACAATCAAAATCAAGCATCTCTTACTTTGTCAAATTTTAGTTTTTTAAGAAATTTAAATATTTTCAATAAAGGCGGGGCTTCTTTCAATTGAGAGAGATTAGGATTGTGTAAAATTTAATAGGGCTAGTCAACAGATCCACCAACCCGTCCCACCCGCCTGGCCTGACATCAAATGGATGGATGCGTGACAGTTGGCGGACGGGTGTGGGCCCAGTTTCTGCATTTTCGCGGATTTGGGTCGGGTGGCGGTTGATCCGCTGTTTCATTTATGTAACCCGACCCGCCTGCTTTGTCACCATTTTTTTTTTACGCCCTGTTTTTCTGATCTCATCTTATCTCACTCAGTAAACCTAACCTAACCCACTCATTGTCTTCTTCGACAGACAACTCTCTCATCTCTCTCTCTCTCTCTTTTCCCAAAACCCTACCCATTTACCGACGGCGACGGCGACGGCGACGACGATCTTCTCCATCGTTCGATCGACCAACAGCGACTGAAAGGCGATCGGCGATCTATTTTGTTGTTTTTTTTTTGCTCCATTTTCTGAGAATCTCAGATCCCTTTCTTCGACTGAAAGAGGATCGTCGCCGATCGTAGTGGTGGTGACTCACCATTGGTGAGATCTGTTTTGTATTTTTTTAGGTTTTGTTTTGTCTTCTTTTTTCCTCTTCTTCTTCTTCTCAATCTCTAATCTGTGTTTTTTGCTCTTTTGTTTTTTTTGTTGCAGTTTCTGAAAGCAAAGAGGTGGTGAGAGTCAGAGTGAAGAAGCTTACAGACAGGCAGTTCGAAAACCAGAGAGAAGAAGCTTACATCAGTTTGAAAACCAAAGAGGTTTGGTTTCTTTTGCTTCTTCTCTACAATGGATTTTGAAAGTACCTGTTTGTTGCAAATGAAATGTTTAGTGTTTACATTCTGTTTAGCCCTAAATTCTCTTCAATTTGTTAGCCCTAAATTCTATGATTTTGGACCCTTAATTCTGTTAGCCCTAAATTCTGTGAATTTGAATTTGAGTTTTAATCTGTTATTTTTTTTTAATTATTTTGTTGCAGTTTTGAAAGCAAAGAGATTGTGAGATTAGAGTGTGAGGGTTCTACATAGAGAGAGAGAGAGAAGCTTACAGAGAGAGGAAGCTTACAAAGTGTTCAGAAACCAAAGGTCTATGATTTTGATTTTATATGTCTGTGTGATTTCTATTTGTGTCTGTCTATGATTTTAGTTTGTGATTTATATTTGTTTTACTCTTCTTCTCATCTTCTTCTCTTCTCCTCTCCTGTTTTTCTCTTCTTCTTTCATCTTATTCTCTTCTCATGTTCTCTGGTATGTCACTCCACACTCTGGTATGTCTCTTATTCTCTTGTATTCATTGGGTAATGTTTATTGGTTGATGAATTTTGTAATCATATCCAGTATATTGGTTGATACTCCACACAAATTGTTAGAGAACTATTTCCTATAACTGGATATTAGTTATTAGTTATCCAGTATATTGGTTGATGAATTTTGTAATCAAATATCCAGTTTGTGTTTCAACCAGTATATACTCCACACTTTGTTCTATAAATGAATTTAGGAACTGATATGCTAATGTTGAGGAATTTGGTGTTTATAAATTGATTTAAGCAATTTGTGTTATAAACTGATTTAGGAATTGCTTGGGAAATGAATGATTTAAGAACTGATTTAATAGTATTACAGTGCTTCCATACAAAATTTGTGTTTATAAATTGATTTAGGAACTGAAAAGCAACCTCTCAGATAGGGTTTTTTAGATAGTTCATTGGTTACTTGTTCATATTTATCATCTTTTTTTATGTATTAGTCCTTCATGTATTACTTATGTAATAGTATTACTTGTTCATGTTGTTTTACTTGTTCATATTTATCGTCTTTTTTACTTGCCCAGGTTTTGCATTGCCTAGGTTTTTTGAGGAAGTGCACTTATGGCCACTGTTGCCCAAGTTTTGCACTGTTATTACATTGATGTGAATAATATTAGTTGTTTTGAGGAAGTGCATTGTTATGTAACTTATGTTATAGATGTGAATAAATATTGCATTGTCCAGTTTTTTTTTTTTTTTTGTATGTTGAAAATTTTAAAATTTTCAACTGCCAAACCGATTTGTATCCATCCGTCAATCCGCATCTGCCGGATTAACGAACGGATGGCGGATTAGAGGTTTCGTGGCCGCAACCGATCCGCGCCCACCCCTAAAATTTAACAAATCAAATGAAGAGAGAGATTAGGATTGTGTAAAAATTAACAAATTGAATGACAAGCCCTATTTTGATTTTTTAATAAATCTTAACTGATATTGTTATTATTTAATATCTAAATAAACTTTTGATCTCACATGCATAGCATGAGTTTTATATGCTAGTATTCCATATAAAATAAATAAATTAAGAAAATTAGATAGACCTCACAAAAAAGGGCAGTGCAATGCTTTTGGCATTGATTCAATTTGATCTAGTGGCTCTGGATAACAAAGATTAATTCCTATTATTAGAGGCCGAATTTCACAAAGATTAGTTCCTATTATTGGAGGCCGAATTTCACTCTTGTCCCTGTTCCAAGGTTTCAAACAAGTTATAAGAGAGGATTCGAATATAAGATAGGATCCCAAGATCCATTGCGTGTTGTTAAAAGACTGGTTTTGGGCAAGGAATGAAAGAAAAGGATCTCAAGATCATCATGTGGTGATGAGAGACATTGTCACCCAATGGATCCCCAAGTCCAGTCTTATTCCCTGTTCAGAACCATGGAACAAGATATAAAAAAGAATCCGGATAAGAGGATCCCCTTGCCTACAATTGTTCTCTTCAGTGTACCTCTTACTTGTCAAAAGGCCATAACCAACATAGGCAAAATGCAGTAGAGATACTAAAGCATGAAAAAAACACACACAAAAGTGTAATATTATAAAAATTCAAAACACTAAAGCTTTAGTAATAATGATGCATAACAAGCAATAGAGGGAGGGAAAGACCCTGTAGGGATAATACAATCCAAACAAACAAACACCCTCCTCCCTTATTTCTTACAATTTGCTCCACAACAAAAGCCTAAATTAGAGCAGATCATAATATATACTAATACTAATTTTCATGACTTTTATTTTCTCCCTAATCTAAACTACAAACAATCAAACTAAACTACCATTAAAAAAACATCTAACAACAACATAACTATATAAAAGTCCTAGCCAAAAAGGGAAGTGTAGATAGAGCATATATATGCAAATCCACACTTTGTTATGTCTCCCTTTTAGATGGAAAGACATGCTGCCCCTTAGTGCCTCGTGTCACTGTCAGCACTCTCTTCCTGTAGGGGTGGCTGTGTAAGAAAGGATAATGCTTCTGAATCAGGCTAAGGATTGTTTGGCGAACATATCCCTAAATTTTCCAAGGCAAGAGCAAGAAGTGAAAACAATTTATCAAATCAAAACATTATAAGGAAAAAAAATGAGAAAAAAGAAAGAAATGATCAAACTCATTCCAAGACACAAGGAGAAACAAAAAAACATTAGGAACTTAACTATTGGGTATACCTCCTTATTAGAGTATGGGATCCAATTGATTTATTAAAATATTTAGTTTTGATTTGGTGTTGGTTATAATATATTTTTATATATTATATCTAACTTGTGGAGTCCCAGTTCAGTTTGGTAACAACTAGGGTTTTATATAAAAAAACCCCAAGATTTAACAATACATATATATATAAATCTTTCTTTGTTTGTCCCGAGGTATTAGAGTTGCAGCAGCCAACATTAGATCAAACTTTTTCGGTGAGATAGTGCCTGATTGGAAATTCAATTCGGTGGTGTAAAGGAAAAATCCAATGCTTTGTGCTTTTGGTTTTGGCTCTACTTTGAAGTTGATTTGGGTCTGTTATTTTAGGTCTTCTACAATCTTGGTTTGAAGATTTTTTGTCATCTATTTGGCGAGGTTTTCCCTCTTGATTATTCGTGATTATTTGGAATTCACCTAAGGGTGGTTTGTGAGACCATTTGTGTCTCGTTTGTAATCGTTTGGAAACTCTTTGGTTGATAGTGGAATCGGATTTCGATCCCGTAGACGTATCTCACATTGAGGGAACCACGTAAAATTTTTGTATTGCTTTTGATTTAATTTTTCCGCATTAGTTTTTATTCCCATTGATTGATTTACTTGTGGGGAATCATATATTTTCTCTAACAACTGGTATCAGAGCTTACGATTTATTTGGGTTTATCTATTTGTGTAAATCAATGGAGGGGGATGTGAGTCGTATGTCTAGCTTTAATGGAAGCAATTAGGTAACTTGGAAAACTAAAATGGAAGACCTATTATTTTGTAAAGATTTGTATGGACCCATTGAGGGTGATAGTGGCAAACCTGAGGGTGTAACAAATGATGAATGGAAGAGGCTTAATCGAAAAGTCATTGATGTTATCTGTCAATGGATTGATGACAATGTGTTTCATCATGTCGCTACTGAAACTTCAACACATGATTTATGGAAAAAATTAATAGATCTTTATAATAGAAAATCAATCACAAATAAAGCTTTTATGTTTCGTAAGTTGGTTAATTTAAAATATAAAGATGGTAGCCCTATTCCGGAACATTTAAATGAAATAAAGAGTATTGTTAACCAACTTGCTTCTATGAAAATTATTTTTGATGATGAATTGCAGGCTTTGATGCTACTTAATTCTTTGCCCAAAAGTCGGGAGACTTTTGTTGTGACAGTTAGTAATTCGGCACCCGATGGAGTTATTACAATAAGCCAAGTCACTGGTAGCTTGTTGAATGAAGAAACTAGAAGAAAATCAGCAGGTTCCTCTTATTCAGAAGCATTTTTTATAAGAGGCTGAAACAAAACAAGTGGGAGGAGTAAGACTCCTCATGGTCGTGATCAAAGCCATGACAAATCAAGAGATGGTTCTATTTCAAAGAAGAACATTGAGTGTTATTATTGCCATAAGAAAGGGCACATGAAGCGGGAATGTTGAAAGCTCAAGAACAAGGAGAAAAGGCGTGACAAAAGTATGGATAAGAAGTAAGAAGACACAATGGCGATTACTACCGATGATCTCATGGTCGTTTGTGAAGATGATTGTATCAATTTTGTGGGCCAAGAGAGCAATTGGGTGATTGATTTTGGTGCTTCTTTTTATGTGCCTTCTCGAGTTGATTTCTTCACTACCTACACCAAAGGAGATTATGAGTGTGTTCGAATGGGTAATGAATGTTTGTCCAAGATTATTGGCATGGGTGATGTTTGCTTGGAAACAAATTTGGGCTGCAAATTGTTGCTTAAAGATGTGAGGCATGTTCCCGACATTCGCCTGAATTTGATCTCTATTGGGAAACTAGATGATGAAGGCTACAATAACAAATTTGGTGATGGAATATGGAAGCTCACAAAGGGTTCTTTGGTGGTGGCTAAGTGTAAGAAGACTCATACACTTTATTCGATGTAAGGAAAAATTTGTAAAGGTGTTGTCAATGCACTTGAAGATGATACTTCTATCGAATTGTGGCACAAGCGGCTTGGGCACATAAGTGAAAATGGGCTGCAAGTTTTGTTCAAGAAAAAGCTTCTATCCGGTTTGAAAGGTACACTTCTTAAAACTTGTGTTCATTATTTGGCGGGTAAACAACATAGAGTTTCTTTTCATAAAAATATTGCTTCTAGAAAAGAAAATGTTTTGGAGATGATTCATTCAGATGTTTGTGGTCCTTTAAAAGTTCGAACACATAGTGGTGCGCTTTATTTTGTTACTTTCATTGATGATTATTCAAGGAAAGTTTGGGCTTTTATACTAAAAACTAAAGATCAAGTTCTAGATGTATTTAAGCATTTTCAAGCCATGGTTGAAAGAGAAACAGAGCAGAAATTGAAGTGCATCTGAATAGACAATGGTGGTGAATATATTGGGCCATTTGATGAGTATTGTCCCAGCCAAAGTATTCGGCACCAAAAGACAATTAAGAAGACTCCTCAACAAAATGGCGTTGCCAAGAGAATGAACCGCACCATTGTGGAAATAACAAGATGTCTGCTTTCACATGCTAAATTGCTAAGATCCTTTTGGGGTAAGGCAATGAGGACATCGGTTGACGTGATCAATTTATCTCCTTCCTACCCTTTGAATGGTAATGTCCCAGAAAGAGTTTGGACTAGTAAAGATGTGTCTTATGAGCACTTGAGAGTGTTTGATTGCCGAGCTTTTGTCCATATTCCAAAAGATGAGAGGTCCAAGCTTGATAGCAAGTCAAGACAATGTATTTTTCTTGGCTATGGGTGTGATGAATTTGGTTATAGATTGTGGGATCCGGTCGACAAGAAAGTCATTTCAAGCCGTGATGTTGTGTTTCTTGAAGACCAAACACTTGAAGACATTGGCAAAAGTGATCAACTGGAGCCAAAAAGTAGTGATCTCATTGACATGGATTCATCGCTTTCATCTTTGGTGGATGATGAAAATGGGGGAGATGTGCAGCCACCTATTGAAGATGTGGAGGATGATACTAATCCTCATGACCTTGAGCCAGAAATTGAGGAAAAGCATTCAACTCAAGAACTGCCCCCAGAACTTGAGTTGAAGAAATCTACAAGGAATCGGCAACCTTCGAAAAAGTATCATCCCAATGAGTTTGTGTTGATTTCCGATCAAGGGGAGCCTGAGAGCTACCAAGAAGCAATTGAGCATGCAAAGAAAGGTGATTGGAAAAAGGTTATGGAAGAGGAGATGAATTCCTTACTTGAAAATCACACTTATGATTTAGTGAAGTTGCCTAAAGGGAGAAAAATTCTGAAAAATAAATGTGTCTTCAATTTGAAGAATGATGGCAAGAATCTGAGGTACAAGGCACATCTTGTTGTGAAAGGCTTTGGGCAAAAGACATGTATTGACTTTGATGAGATTTTCTCACCGGTTGTGAAGATGTTTTCTATTGGAGTTGTACGTGGCATGGCCGTAAGTATGAACCTTGAAGTTGAGCAACTTGATCTGAAGACCACATTTCTTCATGGTGATCTTGAAGAAGAAATTTACATGGAGCAACCAAAGGGTTTTATGGAAAAAGGGAAAAAGAAATTTGTTTGCAAATTGAAGAAAAGTTTGTATAGCCTCAAGCAAGCCCCGCGATAAAAAATTTGACTATTTCATGATAAATAATGGTTTTTCTAAAACTACTTTGGACCATTGTGTGTTTGTGAAAAAATTTTCCGATGGAAAATTTATTATTCTTCTACTTTATGTTGATGACATGTTAATTGTGGGTCAAGATTACACTATGATTAATAGGTTGAAATTGGAGTTGAGCAAGTCTTTTGCTATGAAAGATTTGGTTGTCTCAAGAAAGCTACATTGAAAAAGTTCTTGAGAGGTTCAACATGAATAAAGCAAAGTCGGTTAGTTGTCCACTTATGGGTCACTTCAAGATTAGTTTGAATCAATATCCTACATGTGAGAAAGACAAGGAAGAGATGTTGAAAATTCCTTATGCTTCAGCGGTTGGTTCTTTGATGTACGTCATGGTTTATACAAGGCCGGGGATTGCTCATGCCGTTGGTGTGGTGAGTTGTTTTCTCTCCAATCCGGGTAAAGAACATTGGGCAACGGTAGAATGGATTTTAAGGTATCTTCGGGGGATTTCGAAGGTGTGTTTGTGTTTTGGAGATGGTAAGCCGATACTTGATGGGTTCACAGATTCTGACATAGCCGATGATGTCGATTCTAGGAAATCTACTTCGGGGCATGTGATGACATTTGCAGGGGGAGCTGTGGCATGGCAATCTTAATTACAAACACGTGTTGCTCTCTCAACTACCGAAGCTGAATTTATTGCCATTACAGAAGCTTGCAAAGAATAGTTATGGTTGAAGAAATTTTTGCAAGAATTGGGTTTGAAGCAAGAGAGGTATGCACTTTATTGTGTTAGTCAAAGTGCTATTCATTTGAGTAAAAATTTCACTTTTCATTCGAGATCAAAATACATTGATGTGAGATACCATTGGATTCGTAATGTGTTAAATTTGAAATTGTTGCAACTCGAAAAGGTTCACGCAGATGATAATATTTTGGATATGTTAACTAAGACTTTGTCGAGAGACAAACATTTGAAGTGTCGAACTTTGGCCAGTATGGTTGATATCTCCACCTAAGTCGGTAGAAAGAGAATAGTTGGGTATACCTCCTTATTGGAGTATGGGACTCACTTGGTTTATTAAAATATTTAGTTTTGGTTTGATGTTGGTTATAATATATTTTTATATATTATATCTAATTTGTGAAGGCCCAATTCAATTTGATAACAACTAGAATTTAATATAAAAAAATCCAAGATTTAACAATATATATATAAATCTTTCTTTGTTTGTCTCGAGGTAATGGAGTTGCGGCAGCCAACATTGGATCAAACTTTTTTAGAGAGATAGTGCCTGATTGAAATTTCAATTCGGTGGTGTAAAGGAAAAATACAGTGCTTTGTGCTTTTGGTTTTGGCTCTACTTTGAAGTTAATTTGGGTATATTATTTTGGGTTTTCTACAATTTTGGTTTGAAGATTTTTTGATCATCTATTTGGTGAGATTTTCCTCTTGATTATTCGTGATTATTTGAAATTCACTTAAGTGTAATTTGTGAGACCATTCGTGTCTTGTTTGTAATTGTTTGGAAACTCTTTAATTGATAGTGGAATCGGATTTCGATTCCGTGAACGTACCTCACATTGAGAGAACCACGTAAAATTTTTGTGTTGCTTTTGATTTAATTTTTCTGCATTAATTTTTATTTCCATTGATTGATTTACTTGTGAGGAATCATATATTTTCCCTCACATTAACATACCTCCCAAGAGCTACTGGAACAAGATCTTCAAGGCACAAGGAGAACTGGATTTGATACTGATAGTAAGTCTTACTGCAACATATATTTAATGAAGGAAATCTTTAAAATGAAAATATGGTTGTACCCTCTTATTTGCTCGAATAGAGATGTAAGCCCGGTCAAGTGTACAGATGTCTCCCGTCTCGTCCAACAGTTTCCAATAAAACAGAATGTACTTCCGACTGCAAGTGATAAATTTGCAAGAGCTTTCTGGTAAGTGAACTTCAAGGACCTTTCTGGTCCCAGAAAGACCTGGTGTTTTGCGCCTGAAATTTAGAGAAGCAAAAATATGCCGATTGTATATTGAATTATTTAGTTCAGAAGCTAATAAAAATAACTAACAAAGGACCTACAGGAAAATGTTACTGGGGACTTCCTCTTATTTCATTTTTTTTTATTTTTTTTGTATTTTTTTCCCCTTTTTTAATTTTGGATAGACAATGTGCATGTCTCCGTAGTAGCCTAAAGTGACAACTAAGGCCAAAACCCAGTCTTTACTGGGGACTTTCCAGTAATACATTCAAAACACGATTCATCACTCTTGCAAAGCATGTAGAATCATTTTAGCATTTCAAGAATGACACCGCCGACTTCTCCTACGGACTTGTCTCAACTCTGTGAGGTAAAGTAGAATTCTTCCTCCAACCTATAAGGTTTATCTGCTTACTACAATCATTTAGCAATAAATCCACCTCCTTCGTACATAAAACCATGGGAAGTCTTCAGCAATCAAATTAATGCTGGGAATCGTCAAAGCACAGCAACACATCTTTTTTCTCATTTTCAATGTTGTACGACATTGAAGATGAGAAAGATAATTCACATCAAATTTAGCTCGCCGTAAATATTGGCAAGCTGTTGCCAACTCTCAAAGCGTAAAGGATTGTACTGTAAATCATATTTGAAAATGTTAGAGTTTTGCTCTACAAATTCTTCCCCTTGGAGAGTACAAACCCAGCCCATTTATCAGTTACACTAATTTCTTCAGACTGAGCAAGGAGGTAATACAAGTTGCAATAGACCTCCAAATATGGGTCAGAGCTGCAATCAGTTAATTACACATCAAAAAGATAGTTCGTTCCCAGTAATAACAATCTATGGACCAAAGCATCATTTGGGGGAAAAAATTAAATTAGATGACACACAAAAATACTGATCTATGGACGTATACCTCCCTAATGATGATGCCTTGAGTTGTTTGAGGCTTCCACTATCGGGAAATATAATCTGCATGATAGAATCAAGAAACCCATCAGATCCGGCCACTTTTGAGAGTTTATCTTCCCACAAATTAGGATCATCTAAGAACTTATCAATTGCATTTCCAGCCAAAACATTGTCTGGTGGCTGTGGAAAGTGTTTGCGTATGGCTCTTAATACTCTCTGAAGCTTTACCAATCCAGTTCTCTGCGATGCACAAATGTTAGCAGTCAAATGGAAGTCAGAAAAGCAAAAATCACCGCATAATCTTCAAAAAAGAAAATAATAATTTGAGACTAAAGAAAAATCGAAAAAAACCCAATGAAAGATATGAAATGAGAAAGCAACAGAAAATTCACTAACAGATGAAGCCTTTGCATAGGGCAGTATATACTGGAAAACATCAGCACACTGTTCCTTTGTCTGATAATCGCCACGGCTAGTATTTTTGTGCTGCACTAAATCATCTTCATAGGATGAATCTGATCTAAGCTTTAAACCATACAAACAGAAAAAGCATTGATCCAAAGCATTATCAATTCCCAACTCAAGTTCCTCCCTTTCATCTTCAGTTAGTTCACTGCCAAGATCATTAAATTGATTGCTTGCTTTTTCTCCATGGGACATACCATTGGGCCCATCACCACTGCATTTGCTACATTCCAATCCTGTATTCTCTTCTCCATACTCTCATGAGACAAAATGCCTTTGGAAGGCACTCCTTCAAGAACATCCTTCTCCACAATATTGCCTTTATCTATAGCAACATTCACTGTATCTGAGGCAACATTTACCGTGTCTGACTTTGATTTGTCTAGAGATGTTTCGACATGATTACTGTGGGAAAGCTGCTTGTTACATTGCATTGTTTCCAATACCTTGTTTAAAGAATGAAAGTTTGACTTAAGCTTCATATCCAAGGACAATAGATGCTTTATTGCAAGTTTTAGAAATGTTCCCTCCTCTGTTACCTGCACAGCACAGCCCATACTCTGCCAGCAAGTAATGCATTGCCACGATCAATTCAATCTGAGATAATAAATGAAAGCAAATGGTGTTAAAGGGTGATGCTATGGTACATTTTGGTGTACCATACATTTAGTTATGAACTTATATGATTTTATATCATAACCTATACCATATTAGTCATAACTATCACCATATTAACTCATAACTTAGTTATATTATTGATTTTCGATGTACCATACATTTTTTAAACAAAATGTACTATAGACTTACCCGGTGTTAAAAACTTAAATGAAAGACAGAAATCACTGCATAGGCCAACACAATGTGAAGTTTCAATTCCTTAGAAGAGGGTGATGGTACTCACTTGAGTTTTGATAGGGACAGGGTTCAGATGTTGAAGTTTGCAATTAAAATGGCTGAATCAATAAAGCAGCATCTTTGGCTTTTTTCAATTTGATCTTAAATTGCAGGTCCAACAAATTTCTTAGAAAGCATGTGCTCGCGATACTGCACATGAGTGTCAGCAGCAAAGACTAAATATCACCAATAATTTTAAGAAGAGCAATAAAGCCATTCTGCAAAAAGACAACAAGCATATGCTGTAATGAAAAATGGGTGCAAGAAGATAAACAAAAGATTAACTAAATCATGTATCCTTGAAAAACTGGAATTTGCTTTAAAATCACAAAAATGTCAACCATAATCCAATGAGTATTGCAGCTGTGAAGGTAAAACACCTTTGCTGAACCCTGCATTAAAAAACGAGGGAAAATAAAATAAAATGCTGAACCAGTTTGTCTTCCTCGAGGATGCTTGATCTGTCTAGTTTGTCTTCCTTGAGGAGTTTATCTTTCTGGGGGATTCGCATTCCCTAATGCTGTGTTTGGTTGGGAGATTTGGGGAGGGATTTGGAAAGGGAAATGGAAAAGGTAGTTGAAATGTGAATAAATCATGCCTATATTTCACATAGTTTCACACAACTTTTCCCTTTCCCTTTCCCTTTCCAAATCCCTTCCCAAATCCCCCAACCAAACACGGCATAAGGGAATCGAGCCATTTGATCCCGGCCTTGTTCTGACGCTCTTTGCTGGAACGCAAAGTTTTGATAAGGCTCGCCAAAGGATTCCCTGGTCTCCATCGTTCAGAGTTGGTCTCATAAAGCCTTTCTTGGACTGTTGATGCCTTTCATTGCTCGAAGTCTGTTGGTTTGAGGTGTTTTTGGACTGTTGATGCCTTTAATATGGGTGTGAAATCTAGACAATGTGTATCTCATATAGGTCCTACACTTATGTAAGATATTTGATAAAATTTTTAAGATGTTTAATATTTTTATTATATTATTGTCCTTTTTTTTTTAGATAGGATTATTGTCCTTGAGCTGTGTGATTATGATTTCGAGATATTTAAATATTAAATATGCCCTACAACTTGATAGATTAAAAAATATCTAATCAAGAATAATAAAGAATCTTAATTGAAAAGTTTGCAGGACCTGAGGTTCTGAAAACTTTTTAGTTAGACAGTAATACTGATTGGTTACACTTTATCTTGCACCAAGCACATGATCTTAATTTAAAAGTTTAAATTTATCAGTGACCCTACACAAAGCATCAGTTCTAAGAAACACATTACGCTTAAAATTATTAAAATTACAGGAAAAAGTAGTAATTGTAGCCATATCTCATAATGATGGTTCTTTCAATAATATATTTTAAAAAAAATTATAAAATATAAACGTCAAATTCTACAGATTTAAACTGGACTTACAGAATTTCCAGATAGATTTATGAAGTTCTTCATTTGTCATACACATTGAGAGATTGCCTTCACTTCTTCTGCAACCAATTGATTTCAATGCATGCTTGGGCTTTCATTTAATTATGTTCCCAAAGCAGAAAGTGGTTTTAGGACAGACATCTTGTGAAGAAGCAAGACATTCATCCATGCCAGCTGCAACCAAGAGTATTTGCAACTTCCTTCTGTAACAATCCAAAAACACCTCAAAGTCTGTTGGTTTTGCCTTTCGCATGCTTTGATGAGAACATCTAATGCTGATAATTCAACTGAAAGCAACCCATGATATGTCATGGTGAGTGTCCATTGTAGAAAAGAGAAGGGGAGCAAGCAAGTGTGCACACTCAAGATACATTTCTTTCTCAATTATCTGACCTATGGCTGCCCCCTTCAACAAGAATTATATCAATTTGTTTTATATGCTGAAGCTTGTCAAGCTTTCATTGCTTACTAAACTCTGTGTGTGTGAGAATGCATGTGCACGTATGTCAAAGGGTAATTAAAGATGCAAGAATAGCTTCAAATTCTGATATATAAAGAAAAAAAAAATTCTGTAAATAGTTGTGGAACTTAATTTTGTGAACAATTTGTTTCAAAATTTGGAGTTTGTGATGCATAAGGAATTATTTACAGAAATTAAATATCTTGGGACCATTATATTTGGGTTTGTTTTTTGTTCTATTAAAGGTTATAAGGTGCCGAATTTATAAGATGGTTGAGTATTACAGTAATTTAAGAATAGCCACAGCATCTTAAATTATTGTTATGTGTATAAAGTTAGAAAATAATTATATTAGATCTTATTACTTGCATTTAAATTAGTAAAATTAATTATTTTACCCACAGGAAGATAATTGTTTTATTAATTTATTTGGAATAAGATAGTAAGTTAAATATCAAAATAAAAATTTTCTATGTCCGCATATAATGGAATTAGTTTTATTTTGTGAGAGATATTTACTAGCTAGTCTTATTAATAAAGTTAAGTAGGTTCGATGCAAGTTGCAATCTTTACCCACAGAGAGGTTAGAATTTACTTTATTTTTTATTTTTCCGTAGCATGATTTGTTCTTGGTTGTTGCAGTCATTCCTACTACATTATTGAGTTCTGAATCATTTCATATTCCATTTTTGAGTAGTGAAAATTTTTCTGACTAGAAAGATAAGATTCTTTTGACTTTGGGGTGCATGGACCTTGATTTGGCGCTTCGTGTGGACAAACCACCTGTTCCCACAGAATCAAGTACGCTAACTGAGAGGGCTTCTTATGAGCGGTGGGAGCGATCTAATCGCTTAAGTTTAATGCTCATCAAGTCCCATATCAGTGAGGGCATTAGGGGTTCAATCCCTAACTGCGACAAGGTTAAGGTCTTTATGAAGGCTATTGAAGAGCAATTTGTGACAGTGAAAATTTTTTTGACTGGAAAGATAAGATTCTTTTGACTTTGGGGTGCATGGACCTTGATTTGGCGCTTCGTGTGGACAAACCACCTGTTCCCACGGAATCAAGTACGCTAACTGAGAGGGCTTCTTATGAGCGGTGGGAGCGATCTAATCGCTTAGGTTTAATGCTCATCAAGTCCCATATCAGTGAGGGCATTAGGGGTTCAATCCCTAACTGCGACAAGGTTAAGGTCTTTATGAAGGCTATTGAAGAGCAATTTGTGACATATGATAAGGCATTAGCCAACACCCCAATGGAGAAGCTCTCAAGCATGAGGCTTAATGGTTCTAAAGGTGTGCGTGAACACATTATGGAAATGCGGGACATTTCAGCTCAACTTAAAACATTGGAGATAGAGATTTCTGAGTCATTCTTAGTACATTTTATCCTTAACTCTCTTCCTATGGAATATAGTGCTTTCAAAATTTCCTGTAACACACAGAACAAGAAATGGTCAGTAAATGAACTTTTGGCCTTGTGTGTTCAAGAGGAAGAGAGATTGAAGCATGAAAAACTAGAGACTGCCAATCTTGCATTTCATGGAAAAGGAAAAGGGCGAAAGGACAAAACTGTTCCACAACAGAAAGTGCAAATGAAGCGTTATGGCAATAAAGGTGAATACTTCTTTTGCAAGAAAAAGGGACACATGAAGAAGGATTGCCCTAAGTACAAGAAATGGCTCGAGAAAAAAAGGTAATCTATTCTCTCCTGTGTGTCATGAATCTAACTTTGTTAAAGTTCCTGATAATACATGGTGGATTGATTTTGGTTCTACAATTCATGTTGCCAATACTATGCAGGGCTTTCTCAACCTAAGGAAACCGACAACAAGTGAACAAGGCATCTATTCGGGGAAATGGGATGTGTTCACATGTGGAGGCTATGAGAACTTTTAGACTGATTTTAAATTCTGGCTTTGTTTTGGATCTTGAAAACACTTTTTATGTTCCATCATTTTCTAGAAATTTAGTTTTGATTTCAAAATTAGTACCTTTTGGATATACATTTAATTTTGTTAGTTCGAGTTTCAATTTATTGAAAAATAATGCTATTATTGGCAATGGTTTTTTAACTGATGGTATATATAAAATTTGATTTGGATCTTTCATATGAAAATAGTGTTTTAACCTTACATACTGGAATTGGCATAAAGAGAAGTATTACCAATGAGAAGTCCTCTATGTTATGGCATAGAAGATTGGGACATATCTCAATGGAAAGGATAAAAAGATTAGTAAATGATGGAGTTTTAATACTCTTGATTTTACTGATTTTGGTACTTGTGTGGATTGCATTAAGGGAAAGCAAACCAACAAGTCCACTAAAGGTGCCAAAAGAAGTTCTAATATTCTCAAGATCATACACACAGACCTCTGTGGACCATTTACTCCACCTTGTTTCAATGGTCAGAGATATTTTGTCTCATTTATTGATGATCATACACAATATATGTATCTCTATCTTTTATTTGATAAGGCTGAGGCACTTGATACTTTTAAAGCCTATAAAGCAGAGGTAGAGAAACCAACAGAAAAGAGCATTAAAATCGTGAGATCAGATAGAGGTGGAGAATGTTATGGAAGGTACACAGAATCTGGACAAATACCTGTTCCATTTGCTAGGTTTCTTAAAGAAGAATGGAGGAACCGCACACTTATGGACATGGTAAGGAGCATGCTTAGTGAGAGGGAGATTTATTATCCGAATTGGGCTATAGTAATGGCTGGGCAAATTTGGGCCGAACAAGATTGGGCCGTGGAAGCGCGGCCTGTCCTGACAGGTTTTGCTCGGTTTAGGGAGGCATGGTTGGACCGGGCTATTTCGGCTGAGAT